GCTTTTTTTCTGCATTATTGGCAGTTGTAGCATAATTTTTGAGCTATTTACAGTAAGACCAATGCTGGGTACAATCGGGTACAATGTCAAATCGTACCCTAATGGCAGATATGAGGTAAACGATACCATTTTACATAAAAAGGTCCATATTTTGAAATTAAGTAATTACTAGATTCAATAGATTTGTATTCAACAAGATCTACATTGCGCCCTTTAGAATTATATTATTTTAAGTGAGTTTATTTTTTTGTCAAAGCATACATTGCAATATTTACATTACGTTTTTTTATTTCATAATTTTTAAGATCGATAGGTTTACAGGAATAGAAGCTATAAATAAATATAAAAAATACATAGCTATAGTTGTGTTGAACAATAAGTCAATTCTAAAAGGACCACGCAAATTGAGGAAAAAATTCGACCTCCATTTGAAAATGCTCCAAAAAAATCAATAATGTTCCAGGTCTCTACAATTCAAAAAAAGTCGCTGGGGTGAACCGATATAGACGAACTGGACTATCGCATCGGAGCAAACGAATTCAAAGAGTGTCGGCTACTACAAGGGATAGAAAGTTAATTATTTAATTTAATATTGGTTAGGTTATTTTAAACATTTATTAAAATTAAGAATATATTAAATGTGTGATAACAACATTTCGAAAAAATTAAATCTTTAAATTTCTACGATTAATTACATTAATGAGCAGATGTAATAATTCATAAAAATCAATAATGTTGATGAACAATGTTTTACAAGTATACTAAGTTGTATCCGGGATTAAAAATTGATGTAAATACCAGTTGCAAGATGTCTATTCAAATATTCTACTATTAGACCTAATTTGTTTTTTCGACAAATAAAATATCTGCCTCTGGAATCATTGGGATTAAATAATATTTTAATTAGTGATCAAAGATATCGATTTGCTCATGTTATTTAGCTAGTTTAGTTGACTTCCGACAAGTAACCCATTCATTTCAGTATTTTTCTTTCGAGTTCTTCAAAAATATGCCGAACTTTTTCTGCATTTGCGGTATTCCTCTATAGTTGATGTGTTGTTAAATACAAATATTTCTACCTATTTAACAAGAAAATAAATTTTTATTTTTAATTACTTAAATCAAAAATTACTTTAGAATACAATCATTTGAAATATATGAAAAAAGTAATTGTACCTATACCTCGTTGTATACCTAAATGACACTCCCCAAGGAGCATTATAATAATTATTCATTTTAAAATCGTTACATCAAAATACAAGTATATAAATAAATTTAGGAAAAATCTAGCAGATACTGCTTTTACCATAGGTATTGACAAAGTTATTTTTGTATTTAATATTCCTAAAAGTATCCATTGAAAGAATGTTTACGGTACTCACTAACCGAGAGGTAGTATTGCGGAACTATCACACATTTTATCAACTTTGTAAATATTTGGAATCATAAAATGTAGAGATATAAGAAAAGCCGCAAATACAAATGACGTTCTGATAAATCTTAGTGTGTTTTCGTAGAAGTCTTGACGACATTTCTATTCTTATCGGTATCTTTTTAAAACCGATATTTTGCGGTAGGTGAGAAAGGTTTAGGTTCGATGTGGTTTTAAATTCCAGTCTAAACTTTCTAAAATATAAAAATTATCACATAACATTTGAATTGATAAAACGGATACCTAGGACAATGTTTTTCGACGACCAACACCGATAAGAATTCGCTCGCGTCTCTCTAGTATGCAAAGAAACCATGAGCGAGATTTATATATAAAAAAAAAAAACTTAAAATAATTTACCTAAAATGTGCCTTTGGGAGACAACTCGACCTTATTAAATTACAAATTTTGTGCGAATTAATCACAATTCTTTAATCTGAATGAAGATTAATAAGCGTTTAGTTCTAAAATATTAATTTTTAAATTAACAGTATTGTAAGGATAAAATTTGTTAAACGAGGTAGCTATCGTTTGAAATTATCGAAAAATGTGCCATTAGTTTCTAATTTTGATAGCCCGGTAGTAGGCATTAGACTGACGGTTGCATAGTATCCTTTGATTTTTTGATATTTCACTATTTTAAATGTTGATTTTCGATATATTGTCCTTTGGATCTAATGAATTTTGGATCTATTGTTCTTTTCAATAAAATGTTATTCGCTAAAATATATCTTCGATCAAATGTATTTTCGATCAAATTCCATTCGATAAAATGTATTTTCGATCAAATTTCCATTTCGATCAATTTTCTGCCACCCATATAATGCTTGACATTCTATATGATACTCTTCACAGTTAAACAAACCCCCTTTTAACCCCCCTATTTTTAGTCAGACTTTTTTAAAAACCAATAGCTTCGTTCCATTGCAGAGCTTGATTTTTCCTGAAAATTTCAAGTTGATATTGTTTTTCGTTTTTTTTTATTATTTTTTTTAAGTTTCAACCCCCCTTAACCCCTCCATTTTTAATAAGATTTTTCAAAATTAATAAGCTTTGTCCCCTTTTAGAGCTTGATTTTTAATAAAAATGTCATGTTGATATCGCTTTTCGTTGTTGATTTATGATTTTTTAAATTTCAACCCCCCTTAATCCCCCTATTTTTGATCAGATTTTTTAAAAAATCAATAAGCTTCGTCCCATTGTAAGCTTGATTTTTCCTGAAAATTTCAAGCTGATATTCTTTTCAGTTTTTGTTTTATCATTTTTTTAAGTTTTAACCCCGTTAACCACTCCATTTTTGATTAATTTTTTTTAAGTCAATTGTTAAATCATTGCAGAGCTTGATTTTTCCTAAATATTTCAAGTTGATATTGTTTTCTTTCTGATTTATGATTTTTTTTTTTAATTTAATTTACCAATAGGCTTCGTCTCATTGCAGAGCTTGATTTTTCCTGAAAAGTTCAAGTTGATATTGTTTTACGTTTTTAATTTATTTTATTTAAAGTTTCAGACCCCCTTAACCGCACCATTTTTAATCAAATTTTTTTTTCAAAACTAATTCGTACCCTAATAGAGATTGATTTTTCATAAAAAATTTAAGTTCATATCATTTTTTGTTTTAACGTTATTTAAAAATTGATGAAAAGGATTTTGGTACATTTTTAAATTTGGATGAATATTAAAAATTATAATTTCTTGAAAGTAAACCTATAATACTCTTCACAGACTACCCTGTGAAAAGTATAATAATAACATCGCGAAAAACTTTTACACGAAGAATTTTGTATTCCAATCCTAAATAACAGAAATATACCAAAAAGTAGAAAAACAACATCCTATAAAGTACCCTTAGTGGCTTCAACTATGCTTAAAATCTAAATCAGCTTTCTGGGGCACCTGAAAACCCTCTGTGTCGCTTTTTGCAGTCAGATAAGGGACCAATAGATACGCTGCTCTCAAATAATATTTGCATATTTTTTTGTGAGCTCTTTTTTTCAAATCAATTACTTAATTATCTATTAGATACCGGATAGTATGAGCCACTATTTGTAAACAACTACCCACAACAGCTCTGCTGTTATTCAAACATTTTTCTAATTAATAGGTAGGTAAAGTAGGTAGGTATTTTGATTTTATCATTCAGCCAAAAACAAGGACAGGCAAAGCAAGAAATTACTTATCAATTTTAAATAATTGAAGTAAAGAATTGAAAAAATAAAAGATTCTGATGTCAAGATTTCTTGTACCAACAACTGGTACATAATATTGTTACAACATTTTATTCTAACATTATACTTACGGTTTTTAATTTAAATTTTATAAAAACAGTAGGTACCTCTACTAGGTAGGTAGAATGATTTCAATTTTATCTCTTTTATGCAATATTGGTAATTAACCTTTCATTGGGGTTAAACAAAGTCGTGTCCAAATGTAGGTATTTTGTATTCCTCATTGTTTTTGTAAAAAAAATAGGTAATTAGTCTAATAAAAATAAAAACAATTAAAAAAAACAGAAACTATTTCCTTCAGATTACTGAATAAATACCACATATTTGTATAAAATGAAAGGCGAATACGACCCTCATAATATTGAATATCGATACAAATTTTTGCAACGTTTCTCCGGTAGACTGTACCTACCTACCTCAAGCCAGGTGTTTGTCCTTCTTTCTGCAAGAAACAGGATGTAATCGACAAGAACGGACAAGTCCGCAGCGAACGACTGCATATTTTCGTAGTTATATCAGTGTTGAATTTAATTAATATACGAGATATGTGAAAAATTAGCTAGAATAATTAATCAACTACCTACTTAGTTTTATTTGTAAGCTGAACAATCAATGAATTTAAGGAAAAATAGGTAGTAGGTAGGTACTTATATAAATTAAATTGTTTCACCCTTCGTAGGTACCTTGTCTGAATTAATTTTTGAGAAATGTCAATGAAAAACGATTATTTTTGATATCAATGAAAAATACGATTATTATCTATTATTTTAATTTACTTTTGTTTACATATTAGGAAAGTTTATACTTCTTGAGGACCTGTTTTTTGTTTCTTCATTTTCACTAGTTTTATTTATATTTATAGCCTAGGACTGACTCTTTGGCCTAGGAGTAAGTAGAAACTAAAAATAACTATTCCTAGGTAGATACCTAATATCTAAGTGCCTACCTACCCGTTTAGACAGAAAATAATAATGTTTTTGAAGATAACCTACGTACTTAGGTAAATCAAAAAATTGCTAGGTAGTCTGTAGCCCTCAAGGAGCTTTATCTTGATTTTTGTATTCTTTTTTACTCATGTTTGAATCTAACTCGGAAACTAATTATAATTATTCATTTTAAAATCAATATAACAAAATACAATAAATAAATTTGGGTAAAATTCGTCAGATATACTTTTGCCAGTAATATTTTATTATAATATTCAATATATTTCGGTCATTTCATTATACCTAGTTAGATTTTTAACCATTAATATTAGCCTAAGAAGATTATAAAGCTCTTATCTTTAACTTATTTATTTTTAAGTTTTAATGAAAATAAAAAGCTGGATAAAAACTTACTTGATTGACTTCGCTCAAAGAAGCATGATTGTTCATCATAGTATTAATGTCGTTATTTTTCGACAAAGAATTATTACTCAAAGTTGGAGTAATAGTTGGGCTGACTTGATGAATATTCACACTATCTTTAGAACTCTTAGGGGAAATTCTGGCCGGGAAACTCAAAGTTTTCGTCCACTGGGTCAAACTACGTACCATTTTGCACTAAAAATGTCACTGAGATTTTTTTTGTCTTTTAAACTAACTAGTCGAGACTTGTCATAAATGTCATATGCCTCACCGATGCACTCACACTTCTTACGGAATCCTTGAGTGAACTGTTTTCTGTTTTGAATTGTTCATCGAGTTTGTGCTCAATCGGCCTTTCTGTGGCCTTTCTCCCACTACTCATTCTGAAAACAGCTGTTCCTTGTGAATGATTTCAGCAACGGTGTTGCCAGGTGTGTTATTTGGTATGGAGACGACAGATATTTTTTCATATACTTCTCAAAACGAAAAAGGCCACTTTTAAATACATATATCGATATGTTTTAACTGGAATAAATTACTACTATAATTGTTTTTTCTTTATGTATATTGGACTTCTAGAAAAAATATTATAGTTTTTTTTGTTGTATGTAATCGATGTTTATTAGGTACACTTTAGGTTGTTAATAATTATTAGTGCCACTTTATTAAGTAGACTTTACGTTTTTAATAATTAGAGGCACTTTATTAAGTAGACCTTACGTTTATAAAAATTAGTTTCACAAATAAGATTTAATAAAAGAATGAAGTGGATTCTTTTTCATTTTGAATAATTCATTTGGGTAGATAGGTACTCAAAATAATTATTAGTTTAAATTATTCTCTGAATTATATTATATTTTAAAATGGTGGGCTCTTCTAGGAATATAAAATAATAAATACTAAGTGCCCCAAAATTACTCTGCATTTCATATTATCATGTAACGTTTATTTATTTTAAACACTTTATACTTAATTTATATTCACTAAATATACCAATATATTTTACAACTTAATTTATTTAAAATCAAACACTTTCATATACTAATTTACTTTTACAACATTTATGTTAACTGATTTATCTCCTATCTGAAAACTGACTTAAATGGCAAATTAGTCCTGTTAAAATACAAATGTTTGTATTACATACATATGTTTACCTCGGTTCACCTCCTTATGTTATGTTGAGAATGGGGTGTTAATACACTGCGACCTAAAAGATCTATTGTGCCCCCTCCTGTCGCCAATGCACTAAGGAAATGTCTTAATGCCTATAACGACCCTTCCAATCCTATTTTCTCAAGGAAGTGTAGGATTTGAAGTGGCTTCAAGTTAGGTAAATCTCCCTCTTCTATTTGATATCCTCCTAGATATGGTTCCCTTGGATTCTGGAGTGCTACACATTCAGTTAGGATGCGAATGGAGGTATCGTCCTCCTCCTCACAGAATCTGTACTCACTATCCTCTACTATTCTCAGTTTACTTAAGTGTCCTTTTAGTCGGCAATGCCCGGTAAGGATCCCTGTTACAATACGTAGCCTGTTCTTGCTCAGGCAGATGCAGGCTTCCGATCTTTTCTGGTTATATTCTCCTAGAAGTATCTTGGCATGTCTCAGCCCCAAGAGATTGTTCCATTATCGGTTCTTCTACTGCCCAATTCTTTTGTAATCTCTCCTAATATTAAGTTACTGCTGATACCGCAGAACGGCTCAGGTCCTACAAAGGGCGTTTGATCCCCTTTCCTTGCAACACTATCTGCAATCTCGTTACTTTATTTTTCTCGCCTAGCTCATTCAATTATTCTAGGCATCTCCAGACCATTTTTGAGCTGATTACGTAAGAACTCAGCGCTTTGATGGCTGCTTGACTATCGGGCATGATGATCTCTTGTCTATGATAGTTTCTCTCGATATTAAACTGGATACACTTCTCGATGGCGTGAATTTCCGCCTGGAAGATGCTTGGGTATTTTTCCAAGCTTTCGGAGTGCTTGGTTCTCGGCCCATACACTCCTATTCCAGTTCCTTCTATGGTTTTTGGAGCCGTCCGTATACCACTGAATAGTACGTCTTTCGGTTGCAAGCGCGATGGATTCTTGGCTCCATTCTTTCTTGCAGCCCAGCTCTGTGGTTTTGAAGTTTTACACAAAACTGTACTTCTTTAGTATTTCATCCTGGGGCATGTCTCAGGTATATTTAGTCCTGAAGCAAGTAGACTTTCGTCTGATTACTCCGTTCCTAATCATTCTATATCGTGTCTTTTTGCCACATTCTCTATCATCAAATGTAGAGGGGTGAGGTTTAAGATCACCTCCATTGCGGCCGTAGGACAGGTTCTTATTGCACCAGTAATACAGACACAGGCTAATCTTTGTACTTTTGAGATATTAGCTCTCGTAGTAGCTAAAGTAGTTCTGTTACTCCAGGCTATAGCCCCGTAAGTGAAGATTGGTCTCACTATTGCAGTATACATCTATTACACCTATTTGTTTACCTCGGTTCACCTCCTTACCTAGGCCAATATTTGTTTGTCTATTAGTTAAAAAGAAAACGTCATGATGGGTCCCTGGCCAAGAAGCCTGTCATATATCGGTTTTCTGGTTATTGTTATCACACCTCTTTTGTTTGAAAGAAATGTATTTATTTATACTTAGGCACACACATAGCGACTTTTGGGACTTTAACATAGCGTTTGACTTTAATACCTAGTTAAAGTTTATTTAAGACTAAGTTAAAGCAAGTGCCTGCCGCGCCTTCTAAAATGTGTTTCATATAATTACATGTGTTCAGACGTAAACAGACCGTTTTCGGATTTGCTGCTTGCTGACTCTCGCTTGAAGTCGGTCTAGGTCTCACCTTCCCAAATGGTACCTGTAAAGGAACCATTTAATATAGCGTTTAGGTACTTCACAAATATTTTGATCAAGTACAACAATGGACAAATTTAGAGTGAAAATTAATGAGGTTAAATTAGCTTTCCCTTATCCTGATTCTTACAAAGCATGTATTGTCTAAGTAAGAGGCTGCGCAAAGTATCGGGGATCCTTACCAGGTATGGCCGACTCAAAGGACACCTTAGTAAACATGGACTGATATAAGATAGGGAGAGCAAATTCTGCGAGGACAGGACGAGGAGAGCAACAAAATCAATTCATATTCTTATTCGTGTGGCACTATAGAATCCAAGAGCACTATACCAATTAGAAGAGGGATATCTGCCCAGATTTAATCCACTCAAAATACTAAAATTCCTTAGGAAGAAAGGAGTGAAAGGGTGGTTATAGATGTCAAGACTTATTACATTGCTGCCTTAGCGACAGATGGGACACAATAGATCTCTTAGGTCACAGTGTATATGTGTACTGTCAAGACTATCAACACTCCAAAGTCTCAAAACAAATTTCTTCTACAAAGTTATACCAAAAGCCACCTATCCAATTAAATGTTGCATTGCAGCCAGGAAGTCAAATCTCGGAATACAAATATTCGTTTAGTGAGGGTACCGTTCATGAACGATGATTTCTTTATGTCTGCACTTATTATAATAAATCGTTGTTCATAGCGTCACAAACGGTACGCTCACTAAACAAATAATAAATTTCAAGAATTGACATATCATAATTCGTTCTAAACAAAGAAATAATGATTAAAAAGGATCGTTTTTGTGATAAGAACCTTCAAAGACTCGAAAATCATCCAATAATATTGTCTGACAAATTAAAGATATATAGAGAAAACCTCAATGGACTTAAAAAGACCTCTTCCTTACAGATTTTCAGTGTATTTAATGATTTTCTTGTGTACTTTAGTTAAGTTGGATTCGATATCAGTGTCAACTGTTTTAAACAATGATTCGTGTGATCTGTTTCCAAAATTCGCAACCAATTATTTAAATATTACAGATATCAATGTAATAATATTTTTAAAATGTAGGTAAACTGAGCTTCCTCTTAGATCGTATAGTATTTACTGATCATGCGGCTTATGATCAGATTGCATTAAAAAGCTAAAATTTATAGCTTCCATGCAAATTCCATAGAGATTTACGTAAATCTAAAATAAAAAATAAGAGAAAAATAAGTCTATATTGATCATATCTATATCATTTTATTTAAACAAATTTTGTACAAGTATTAAAAATTAAAAAAAACCGACTTCAAAATCGTGCAGATGCCATCGCCACATCTTAACCAAATTTATAGGTTCCCGCCTTACTAACAAAAAAGACTCCTAGAAATCGGACAAGGTGGTAAAGAATTATCGCTAAATCTACATAAAAATTGAAGAGTTTGAGGATTTTCTGATGGATCCAATTATTAGATTTTCACCAAATTTATATGAACCACCTCTGAAGTACCTCCTTTTCAACAAAAGAAGAATCATTGAAATCGGACAAGGTGGTAAAGCATTATCGCTAAATATACATAAAAAATTAAGAGTTTGAGGATTTTCTCATAGACCTTGTTATTAGTTTTTGACCAGATTTATATGGGACCACCCCTGAAGTACCCCCTTTCTAACAAAAGAAGAATCATTGAAATCGGACACCGTGTTAAAGAATTATCGCTGAACATATATAAAAAAATATATACCAACGAATTGAGAACCTCCTCCTCCTTTTTTGAAGTCGGTTAAAGTTAAAAATATACCGACAAATTGAGAACCTCCTCCTTTTTTGATTTAACTTACAATTTTCTATATGTAAACGTGACAACACTGTGTGAAATTATTCTAGGCTCCAACAAGTGGCAGTAGGAGGAATCAAACCGACCGTCCTCTAACGTATTTACCTCTTTGTTTTGATGAACCACTTTGACGGTTGGGGTTTGAATTTGTACCAGCTTGCAGTATCTTGCTGATACATGCAAAATCCTGCGTAAACAACACAAAACAACAATGTGAATGGTTGATTTTATACCTATAATGATTTGAGGACGAGGTATACCTACCTATCTACGGTTGTATACATTCTGTTGACCTTTTCTATAATTTCGTTTTATGTTGCAAACGTTTCTAATGACTATTATTGACTACCTACCCATTTATTGATTAATTTATTTTAATATTTAAAGACTTACAAACGAGTATTATACGGGGCGACAATTTAAAAACTTACATACCAGAAAAGTAAAACTTAATTAGAACAATTTATTTTGGAGTAGAAATAATAATAAAAAAAAATATATGAAAATA